TTCCTGCTCCTCTGATGCTGCCTGGCCTGCTGTGTTCCTCCAGCTCCACACTGTGTTATCTCTTAGAGAGATTGCTGTCTTAGAAGAATTTAAAAACTCACTACTTTCTGTAATAAGAACTTAAGTTCTGAAGAAGAGTCATACCAAACTCGAAACATTAACTCGAATTCTCTCCCTAAAGATGCTGCCAGACTTTTTGAGTTTCTTCAGCATTCTCTGCGTTAGTTTGTAATGAATGAAAGGGTTTAAACGATTAGACAGACTGTAATAATGGATGAAGATTATGAGTCAATCCTTAAAACGAAACTTCTTTTTCCATCAGCTTCATAGATTTAAAAGGGATAGAAAATAGGAGAGTGAAAGGAAGGCAATTAGCTAAGGTAAGGAATTGAGAGCTGGGAATGCTTTTACAAATTGGTCCTGTGAAAACAAAATTCAGTGGTCCATATAAAGTAGCCAGGAGACTTAGTAAAGTGATTTATCTGATAAATACTCTTTATTGTAGGAAAAAGAATCAGTTACATCACGCATGAAGATGATGGAGATAATAAGAGTGAGGTAGAAGAAGTAGACAGTTCTTAAGTGGACCTACTACATTTTGACTCATTAACACAGAAATACTGGAACAGTTAAACACTGTTCTCATATTTAGAAGAAGGACAAGGGGAGCATTTTGTAAGACAATTGAGAAAGTATGATGAAATCTGTAGAAATACACCTGGATGTACTACATTGGTGAGGCACGATGTGGAGATGAGGGAGTCATCTGACACTCATTGTAAACACAGTTGCTGGTTAAGTAGTAGCAGGAGATGGTGCAGATGAGCCGGAGCTAAGGGGGAAAGCAAATGAAGACTCAGCTGCAATAAACAGCTGAAATATCTGTCGACTAGTGATCAATTATCAATAACAAAGGCCTTCCGCCTGCCAGCAACTTTGTGATTGGTTCCCAAGTACTGGACAGCTTAGGATAGTGAACAGGAAAGGGATATGCCATCACACCTCCACCAAATCAGGAGCTCTCTCTGTTCTCTTTAGTAAAAGCTACTTTAAAACAGAGACAAAGACACTAAAATTTGAAGGTGTAGTGGACAGCGAAGAAGATTACCTCAGAGTACAATGGGATCTTGATCAGATGGACCTATGGGCTGAGGAGTGGCAGATGGAGTTCAATTTAGATAAATGTGAGGTGCTGTATTTTGGAAAGGCAAATCAGGGCAGGACTTATACACTTAATGGTAAGGTCCTGGGGAGTGGTGCTGAACAAAGAGGCCTTGGAGTGCAGGTTCATAGTTCCTTGAAAGTGGAGATGCAGATAGATAGGATTGTGAAGAAGGCGCTTGGTATGCTTGCCTTTATTGGTCAGTACATTGAGTATAGGAGTTGGGAGGTCATGTTGTGGCTGTACAGGACATGTTGCAATTCTAGTCTCCCTCCTCTTGGGAGGATGTTGTGAAACTTGAGAGGGTTCAGAAAAGATTTACTAAGACATTGCCAGGGTTAGAGGGTTTGAGCTATAGGGAGAGGTTAAATAAGCTGGGGCTAATTTCCCTGGAGTGGTCAAAGGTTGAGGGGTGACCTTATAGAGGTTTATAAAATCACGAGGGGCATGGACAGGATAAATAGACAAGGTCTTTTCCCCGTAGTGGGGGAATCCAAAACTAGAGAGCATACATTTAAGGTGAAAGGGAAAAGATATAAAAGGGACCTAAGGGGCAACTTTTTCACACAGACAGTGGTGCGTTTATAGAATTAGCTGCTAGAGGTGGTGGAGGCTGGTACAATTACAACATTTAACAGGCATCTGGGTCGGTATATGAATAGGAAGGGTTTAGAGGGATATGGGCCAAATGCTGGCAAATGGGACTACATTAATTTAGGATATCTGGTCGGCATGGACAAGTTGGACCGAAGGGTCTGTTTCTGTGCTGTATATCTCTATGACTCTATAATCTTTCCTTTTGGCTGTTGCTGTAAACTATAACCTTTAATAAGGCTGATGCAGTCATCCTCTTCCTTCTGCAAACCAATGAAAACATTGGAGAAGGAAGACGGAGAAGCAGTGTTCTGATCAACACAGGAATTATCACAACAGTTCCAATGAACAGAGATCACTGGAATGCTTTCCTAGTAATTCCGCTGTCCTTAGCACCAGTGTTTTCTCCTTTGTGTCTGTGTGTGTGTGTGCGTGTTTGTAAGTTTATAAGAGGGTTAAACATTTAACTTGTAGACTTACATGCCATCAGTTCATGTTTACTTGTAGCTAGATTTGTAAAAAATATAGTAATTCATGTTAAGTACAAAAACCAGGTCTGTGTTTTCTGTTAACCTGAGTCTGAAAGTCAGCATAATTGTGCAATTCTGCAGACTACTAAAAGTCTTTAACTTTTGTAACAACACAAGGAATACTGTGCTTGTTTTCCAGCACTCCCCCTAGTCAGGCATAACAATAGAGAAACCCACCTGTCGGAAGTGTGATAGAGAAACTCATCCCACAGGGGGTTGATTAAGAAATTCTCCCAACAGGAGGTTAATATAGAAACTCACCGCACAGGAATTTAATAGAGAAATTCACCCACAGGAGGGCAAATAGAGGAACTCACTCCACAGGAGGGTATTAGACAAACTCACCCAAAGAGGGGTTAATGGAGAAACTCACCGAACAGGAGGTTAATTGAGAAACTCGCCCACAGGAGGGTAATAGAGAAACTCACCTAAAGAGGGGTTAATTGAGAGAATGTACACGCGCCCACGTGATATTTGTGGCTGAGATTTGAGGGCAGGACTGAGAAACAAAGCCGTGGCGGGGTATATAAAAGACAGATCGGAGTGAGGGACTCACTCAGTCAGGATGCTGGTCAGTTGGGTTACTGTAACTTTGCTTGTGTGCAGCGGCGGTAGCAGCTCACTGCCTATTCCCCGGGAACGGGAGCAGCAGCAGCAGCAGCAGCAGCAGCACCGGGTAAGAGAGGTTCAGGATCAGACGAGCTTTACTCTTGTCAAACATGTTCGTAGCTGTATCGTGTGGGCGCAACACAAGTCTGAAACTCTGGCAGCCGAGCGAAGATGTATTAAATTGTGAAAAGTTAAATTATAACATTTAAAGTGCATCGGCCACAAAGTGCCAGTACCAAAGGGAGTTGGAATCAGGCAGTGGTTACGAAGTATTCACAATCGAACAATTTTACATCGAGTAAACTGTATTATGCAAATATCTATATTGATACATGAAATTGCAGATTCTGCGTGCAATCGGTGTAGTAACATTTATGTCCCTTTCTATTGTGTGTATTAAATCCGATTGAGATTGTTGGAGGAGGTAGTGGTGAGGGTTCACTGCAGACGTGCTGCTTTCTAGTGTCCTGGTATCCCCTCCTGATAACGTCCTCCCCCTTCTCCATCAGCCCAGAGAGAGAGAGAGACAGCTTTGACTGAGAGCTTGGAAGATTCAAGTGCAGACATGCCCCCAGGTATTCACTATAAAAGAGACCAGACAGCAACTCTTAGCAGACCGTGAAGACAGCTCGTACCCTGTCTGTAATTGAATCTCAATCCTCAACTCTTATCAAAACCAGCCAGAGTCCATTGACCCTGGCTCAGTTCAGCTCCCACTGAGAAAGCTACAACCGTCCCCTGTGACTGGAACAGATAATTCCCCACCCTAATCCATCGATCTCATCTCAAATCTCAGCCCAAACAGAATACTCTCCCTTGTAACCGAGGGACAGAGATTTTGGGAGCTAATGAAGGAATTCTCTGAGGATTAATGTTGAGCTTTCTGGAACTTGCTGCCACTTGATGTTTCCGAAAGTTACAAACTTGTCTGACTAGTTTCACAAAGGTGAGTAGATTTGCCCCTGAAATAAAGCCTGGGGATGAAGTTATGGAGTGTCCTTTGAGTGCTGTTCTTTCTGTCTCCACTCAAGGGGATTAGTTTACACTCCAGGTGACGGATTTCTGTTGGTCCTATTCACATTTCACCCTCAACGCCCCCCCTCCCCCAACGCCTTATCAGACTGTGGGATGATGATAATGACAGGGTGGAGGATGAAGACAGAAGGGTGTGTGTTTGGAGGGGAGCAAGGGGATGGGGTCATTCAGTGTTGCACAGATGGAGACCGTAAACATGTGAGATGTAATTCTCTCCAACATTACTTTCTGTTCAATTTTTATCTGTAAATATTTTAAGTTTCTTGTTCATATGCATGAAGCACTGTTAAGTGATTTTTTTTTGTTCGGTTTAAATCATTGATCAGTTGTACAATTGGTCTAAACTCATGATGATATTAGGTAGTGAGCGGTAGTGTAACATTGTTGATTGATCCTGGGTAACTCAGTGAGTCAGCAAAAGATAACAGGGTAAAGGAAATTGGTTTTGAACTTCATAGTGGTAATCTTAGAGAGGCATAGAATTAAGCAATTATTGTCGAACTAAAATGGACAAGATTTTGGAGGGGATCCTGAAGGACAGAATTTACATGTATTTTGAAAGGCAAAGACTGATTAGGAATAGTCACATAACTTTGTGTGTGGAAAATCGTGTCTCACTAACTAGATTGAATTTTTTTGGAAAAGTGACGAAGAAAATTGATAAAGGCAGAGCAGTGGAAATTGTCTATAAAGACTTCAGTAAGGTGTTCAACAAAGTTCTGCATGGTGGACTTTTTAGCAAAGTTAGTTAGATCACATGGAATGCAGGGAGAACTACCTGTTTGGATATAAAATTGGCTCAAAGGTAGGAGACAGAGTTTGGTGGCGGAGGGTTGCTTTTCAAACTGAAGGCCTGTGACCAGAGGTGTGCAGCAAGGATTGGTGCTGTGTCCACTGCTTTTTGTCATTTATATAAATGATTAGGATGTGAATATAGGTGGTATGGTTACTAAGTTTGCAGATGACACCAAAAGTGGTGATGTGATGGACAGCGAAGAAGGTTACTTTAGTTCAGAGACCTTGATCAGATGGGCATATGGGCTGAGGAGTGGCAATGGAGTTTAATTTAGATAAACATGAGGTGTTGCATTTTGGTAGGGCAAATCAGGGTAGGATTTATATACTTAATGGTAAGCTCCTGGGGAGTGTTGCTGAACACAGACTTTGGGGTGCAGGTTGATAATTGAAAGTGTAGGTAAGCAGGGTAGTGAAGATGGAGTTTGGTATGCTTGCTTTTATTGGTCAGTGCATTGAGTATAGGAGTTGGGAGGTCATGTTGCAACTGTACAGGACATTGGTTAGGCCACTTCTGGAATACTGCATTCAATTTTGGTCTCCCAGCTATAGAAATGATGTTGTGACACTTGAAAGGGTTCAGAAGATTTACAAGGATGTTGCCAGGGTTGGAGGGTTTGAGCTGTAAGGAGAAGCTGAATAGGCTGGGGCTATTTTCCCTGGCTTGTTGGAGCCTGAGTGGTGACCTTATAGAAGTTTATAAAATCATGAGGGGCATGGTTAGGCTGAATAGTCAAGGTCTTTTCCCCAGGGTATTGGAGTCCAAAAGCAGGGGGCATAGGTTTAAGGTGAGTGGGGAAAGTTTTAAAAGGGACCTAAGTAGCAACTTTTTCACGCAGATAGTGGTGCATGTATGGAGTGAGCTGCCAGAGGAGGTGGTAGGGGCTGGTACAATTACAACATTTAACAGGCATCTGGGTGGGTATATGAATAGGAAGAGTTTAGAGGGATATGGGCCAAATGCTGGCAAATGGGACTACATTAATTTAGGATGTTTGGTCAGCGTGGAGTAGTTGGACCGAAGGGTCTGTTTCTGTGTTGTACATCTCTATGACTTTTTTTTATTTTTGCCTAGTGACTTTCCTTCCAGTGTTTGATCATTTTCCAGTTGATGTTTAAAGATTACAAACAGCAAGTCCTGACAGACTCTGCAGGTAGCCACTCATACACTCCTGCAGTGTGTAAATTCACACTTAATGGGATTGGTTAGGGCTGAATGGCCTGTGTTGAGGTGTAATGGCTATTGGCTATTTTAGGTGACTTTCCTGGCATTCAGATATGTTGTTAAGATGATAAGCAACAGCTAAAAACAGGCTGATTTTCTTTTCTTTCTCGGTCCTCTAACAAACCTTATTGCTGAGTTCTTCGTTCCATTCTGTGAGGGGTAAAATTTCTAGCAAGCCCTGAGCTTAGGCGAGCATGGGCAGAGAACAGAGGCAGTCTTAAACCATGCATGTGATAACAGCCGACACCAGACAAACTCAAAAGTACTCAGCACAGCATGGAATGGTGTGGGTCTATTAGAGCTAAGCATTTAGCTTAATGGCAGAGGCCAGTAATTTTAGTGCTTATTGTAAGTATTTAATAGCATGCGATTTTTATAAGATTTAGTTTTAAGTAGTTTCAATTTGTGTTTTAGTGTTAGTTTTAAGTCTACATAACTGATTATATAATAACTGTTATCTAACATGCCCGCGCAACTAGGGCCTGTTACATGCACATTGTGTGCCATGTCGGAATGCCAGGGCATTGATATGGCCTGGAAAACCACATATGCATGAAGTGCTGCCAACTGCTCCAGCTTGCCCTCTGGCAGTGCATTCAGGAAGCTGCAGAGAGTTCAGAAAAAGAGCAGGCATGTGACTTTTAGCATAAAAGGGCTTCCTAGTTTTAGGGCTAGTTTTGAGGTGCAAGCATAACAGGTTTCACCTGAACAGAGACGGAAGCACTGTCTTTACAGTGGCGTGGACTTGTGCTTGTGGAGAGGACACATGGAGAAAATATTAGCAGCAAAGAGTAGGAATAAGATACATGAAAAGCTGAGAGGGACAAATGGCAGCAAAACAAAGTGCAGAAAAAGCAGGAATAAGAGAGGAAAGTAGCAAAGCTGATCAGCAGTGTTAGAATGCGTTAATTCAATTAGTATTATAAACAAGTTTGACAAAGCTATAGAGGTAGGAGTTTAGATAGGCCACATGGAGTTGTAATGTTGTGACTATAGCATAGGCAGAAATGGGAACCAAACATTCCTTTCTCCAATGTTAATCTTCTTCAATATTCCTCCTGAAGAGACTTGAGGGGTGATCAGGTATACTATTACCGTTCTCAAAGGACCAATATACTGGAGCGTTCAAAGACTGAATCTATTTAGCTTGAGTTCACGTACAAAAAGGAGTGTACACTGTGGAAATACAGGCAAACTCCAGAGAAATCTATCTATCAAAACTAAAGATGATTTTATCCAAACAAATATACTGGGAAAGAAGCAAGATAAAATGGTTTGGGCAGAGTGAATGGGGCAAAACTACACAACGCAGTATTGGAACAAGGGAGCACATGTTGCAAGGTAATTGGTACATGAAGCAATGGAGAAAGCTTTTCACAAAGTGAGTGGTAACAGGGAGAATTGATAAAGGTAATGTAGCAAATATTTTTAATTAACCTATTTAGACATGTTATGACACATGTCTGGGGTAGGTGGGACTTGGACTTGGGCCTTCTGTCCCAGAGGTAGGGATAGTACCACCACACCTCAAGACCTAACAGAAGGTACTGAAGTATCTGAATGACAAAACACTACTGGTAGTGATGTGGTTCAAACTCAAGTCTCCAAAGAGCCTGGAACCAGAAACTGAATCCAGTGCCTTATACCACTTGGCCATTCTACCACAGTAACTTTGATCTTTCTTACCCTCTCCCATTGTAGTAGATATTTATGTGAACTTTCAAGGCATTTCATACATCAGACTTAGCCAGAATGTCAGTGCTTTGAAGAGCAGCCAGCTGTAGTTCAATGCATAGTGCCCCCATCTCTTGAGTCAGAAGGTTGTGTGCTTTGGTCCCATCTTAGAACTTGAGCACAAAAGGCAAGGCTGACTTCAGGGCAGTGTTGGACATTTTGACTTTTAGATAAGACATTTAAAATGAGATCCCCTTTGCCCACCTAGTTGGATGTGAAAGATCTCAGTATTGTTTCATACTAAAGTTATCCAGATGCTGTGAGCAATTTATCCCTCA